GGTCTCCCTGCAATGTGCACCTACAGTATGCTTCAGGATAGAAATAAAAAAAAGCAAACAGGTCTATACCATTCATCTCTCTCTCCGTCTGTTTTCCTCCTCATTCTGAGCAGTCACCATGCCATGTCCCCTTCTAGACTTACCATCTGCAGTGATGGATAGGAGTACCTGTATCCACCTGAAACTAAACTTCTCAAAGACCCCCAGAAGCACCTTCCACAATTCCAATTTGCCTGCTAATAACAAACTGGATGTTAAATGTACGACAAAAACTATCCCCTTCAAAAGAAATCTACAGTGCCTAGACTCAACCGAGTAGTCAATCACACTTAACTTCAGACATCTATTCTGACACTGGCACTCTAAAGAAGAATACTTTGCCCTGGTGTAGTACAGAAATGCAAGTTTATACATGATACACAAGTTTCAAAAAGCTGTGTACTATATGACTCATACTGTACCTGTTTGCGTCGCAATTTCTAGTTCCAAATTATCAGTCGCATTGCTCCCTCTGACATTTGTATAAGAATCCACTCAGCCTCCCTTGCCACACTGTTTTGAAAGTAAGAATACTACCTACAGTGCATCAGTTATTATTTTTTATGGTGCTCTGCCTTCTAATGCTGTGGCAATCTCATTGCCTTCAATAACTTATCTCAATCCTGCTTCACTGTCCAATGTGATACAGTATATGACTCTAGCTCTTTTTTAATAAGACAAAGGATAAAACAAAATGAGATACTGTAGTTTGAAAATATGAAAGTCATTCCCACTACCAGTGGAGTAATGGTAATGCTATAGGAACCTAAGAGATGTAACAAAAGAGACAGAACCCATCTTGCTCAGATTGTTGCTAGTAATTGTAAGGGCTTAGAATTGTATGTATGTCAGCTTACATCCCGTAGTGTCAGCTTCAACTTCCTGTGGAGTCAGTTGGATCCACACTGTACTTCCACTTTTGTCCCTAAATCCTCATGCTGTTGCTGATTTTGAAAAAAGTCCCAATGCCTTTTAGGATTTTACTGAAAATACCTGAATTGAGCCCCATTTCTGTTTCAGGTTAACAAAGGTTATCTTCCTTATAGTTCCCTCATAGTTTCTTGTTCAAAGAAATTGAGTGGATTAGTTAAATATTATCTACCTTTTTTCTAAATCTATATTGACTGTCTCCTAGAGTCCAAGTTGTATTTAGATGCCCTCCTAAGCTTGTTCTTAGATTTCTTTTCATAGTTCTTATGTAATGTGTTCATACAGTATATAATTGAGGTCTAAAATTATCTGTCTCTGTTTTGCCCCCTTTTAACTAATGAGTATTATGCAATTTTCCAGTCAGTAAGAAAAACTGCTGATCCAAGAGTTATTTAAATACCCTAATGAGTACTTCATGAAAAAAAACTCCCTTCATTTTTGAGTATCATTTGAACCAAGTGTCAATTCATTAGAAGTTCTCCTATTCCAGGGGTAGTTTACTTCAACACTTCTATTTCATGCCATTAAAGGACTTTGACATTCTAATGCTGAATTGATTATTGATTAACTAATCCAGGTGCTGAAGATCACTTCAATAATTAAGGATTAGCTAGAGCAAAGACTTGCAAGGGAATGAAAATCCCATGGTTGATTAAATCTGTCATAGAACCTTTAACACCTCACACTCGAATAAACTGAAATTATTTAGAACTGGAATTGTGTTTCTAACTGTGGCATATTATTAATTTACTCTATTTGTGAGTACATGCAAAGTCATTAGTAAACTCTTATACCACATCCTATTGATCTTCTATAATTGTGATCCAATTGTATCACTAAAATACTTTATTACTTTCCTTCCTGATGTTTTGTTACTGTAATATAAAAAAGCCTTTGGCGTTTGTTTTGGTTCCCATTATTCTCAAAGAGTCAATTCTTTTTCTCTCCTGACTCTGCGTGTATTTTTCTTGATTTGTGTTTGCAGTTTACTTTACTCTCAGTACTGATGCAGATCCCTTTGGTATTGTATTTGTATTTTTCTTGTGATTCTAGTGGCATGTGCCTGAAGTGTAGAATCATTTTCTACTGACTACATTTCCTGTCTTACTCCATCTATTACCGTCTATTTTTCCTAGGGTTTGTACCATTTCCTAAAATTATAAACCGCTTTCTTTAGACTTTGCTTGACTAATTTTGAAACTGTATATATCAAAACTGGCCAAGTTGTGGTCACCAATACTTACAGTACCTATAACTTTACTTCTGTTACTTCATCCTTTCACACCCTATCACTGCTCAACAAGTGCAGTGTTCTTCCGTGGCAGAAATAATCACTTTCTTTGTTGAAAAACTTCACTTTTACCACTGAAAGTTAAAACAAATGGTAAAACAAAAGCAGGAGTGATTCATTAAAGGAACATGGTAAACTTTTCATGTGGATTTTATAGCATTATCAGCAGTGTATAATTACAATTATGTGATTGGACAGAGGAAAATTAAAAAAAACAGGATTTAAGGACATTTCAGGCATGAGTCATATTGTTTGTGTTTGTAAATGCAGAAGCTGACTCTCCAGAGCACTGTATCACTTCTCTCCTTTCAGTGACACAACAAGAGAGGCAGATCTAGTAAACAGAGTATTCTTGGCTAGCAGGATGCTCAATAGAAAATATAATGCAGTACTCCAGTTAATTAACACACTCCTGTTGTTTTATAAAACAAAATACTCATGTATTTTTTTTTAGTTTTTCACTGTTACCTTGCTGGTATGGTATGTTATTTCACACCCTTTCTAGTCTCAATAAAGAGTGGACTTTTACCAGCCATAAAAACAATAGAAACTAAAGATAACATAAGAAACCCACAATCAGAAATCTCAGTGGCTTTAAAGGAATAATCCAATTCCAAACTTAGTGAGCAGCCTGTGTAGATTGCCAGGCATGGTGTAAAGCGTCTGCACCACTTGACAGTAGAAGGAATCCTGGCTGGTGTAGTGTATTCTGTAAAATATAGGACACGATAAGTAAAATCTAGCAGTGTCTCACCCACTCAGTTACATAGGCCTTGGAATATGTGTGCAGATTGCTTTACTTAACATAATGTGGATTTCGCTCATGCTGTTTTGTTTAATAACACAGTGCAGTGTGATGTTTGTCACAAGATGTTGCAAGGCATCAATTTTGGCAGCTTCTTTTTTGTCTGAATATAGGCATATTGCACCAACAGAACACAAATTGTGACTTACTAACAAAAGACAAGCCATTGAACAAGACTTTTAGAAAACAGTTTTGTGCAACTGAATTGAACATTCAGTTCAAATCACAGCTGTGACATTTGTATTCATTGTACAGTGGTGAAAAGATGCCAAGTGTTACGCTGTTTCAGTATTACTTCAGTCTCTCAAAGACACAGTTCACACTCATAAAATGAAGCCTGCTTTGACCCAGAAATGACATTTTTTCATAAGATAAAAATCCCCTTGTGGTATTACTTTCAAACTCTTACTCCCCCTAGAAATGTATAATAACTGAATTTAAAATATATTATTTAAGACCTAAGTTATCTAATGTGTAATTTGAAGGAGTACAATTTGTATTACCCTGTAATTTGAGAATCACTTCTATTGCATACCCCATTACACTGTTTTGACTTACTGTATGCGTCTTCTTTGTATTTTTTATCACTATTGTCATTTGACAAGATGACAAAGTATTGTGATAAAAAGGCTTCTGAAAAAAAAGAAAGGCTTTTTTAAAAGAGAATAGCTAATATTCCACTGTAAAACAGGTTAAGATTTACAAAGATTCAGAGACATACAGTATTGGACAGTCTACATGAGCTGTATGGCATACAAGTACACAACTGATTAGCATTTTTGTCAGATGGCTCATTGAAATATTTTAGATACATTTAAACAGAGATGTAAAATGAGGATAATATTTCTATTATCCTTCATAGCCATAGCTCTTTATTCCAATTTCTTCACAACATTGTTATCAAGGAGGTATAATGCACGAATGCATTTTGCATGCTTAAATAGACCAATATCGACTGAAGTTAGCAGTTGGCTAGACTTTCTAACTGAAATCATACTTGACGGTGCAGTTGCTCAGTATGTTTTCTTCCAACTTAAGGACTTAATATTGGCAGAAAAGAGGAAATCGCTTATATTCTGAGCATACAGCAGTTGGTCGGTTGTAACGTGACACAGTAGGTATATAATACAAGTAACACTGGAATAGTTTGTTGAATTTATTGGAGATAAACTTTGTGCCGCAGTGAAAGAAAGTTCTAATTCGCCACACAGATACAATTTAGATGCACTACATTACCTATTCACGCACGTCAGGATTAAGGTTGTAAGTTTTTTTTAAGTCATACCTGTACAGTATATGACAGTTTTGTAGGCCGACGACTGTACGAATTCTAAAATCTTTATTATTAGATTCCTGAATGCATACTATTTTTGATCGTGGTATACAGTAGATGATGCTTGTTGATATGGTCGGTCTGTTTGGTTGCATTTATATGGCTTCGCTTCTCATAGAACAAAATCCGCTGTCTCGGTAATGGGGAAATGACTGTTCCCGCAGGCACTGATCGTGTGCACGGTGTGCACAATATCCTAGCACACCGCCGTGCATTAGCAGAGACCCACAGAGGGCACGAGCGCGTGCCGCGTCGTTAGAGTCCTGGATTGGCAGCACTGAGCTGTGCTCTCTCCTTCATTAGCTGCAGGGAAAGAAGGATCCCAACGACTCGTTTCAGCTGACAACCTGTCATTCATCTGCGGTGTGCACGCGCTCCCTCGCTAAGGGTTAGTCTCATTCGACCGCATCAAGCCATCCTCCACTGGAGGGAGAAGCAGACAGAAGCAGGCACATTGGGAGGGATAAAGAGAGAGCAGATCAGTTGGAATCAAGAGAGAGAAAATCCCCTGCGCTGCCACAGCAACCATTATTTTTGTAGACCGGATTTAATACGCCCACGACTCCCAGCTGATGTAAGAAAAAATAAATAATTATGTTGTTTTCAGTAGCTAGGATCCTGCTGCAGTCCCGGACGGTGTAGTGCATGCTTTCTGAAAGCGCATGACTCGAGGTTGAAAAAAGGGCCGGTGAAAGGAGAATATACTGTATGTTGGCTGATTAAAAAAGCTCAAGAACCATCAGATCTACAAAGAGGACAGGCTGCAGACGCAGTTGTTATTTGTTTTTAGAAGTGACAGGTAGGGGTATTTTTAAAACCTGGTTTAGTATTTATTATGACAGTTTTACACCGGATATTCGTGTTGAATATGACAGTAGTACTGTAGCTACTCGTGTTTGTGCAGGACACCGTGGCGGTATCTGAAAGCTGGAATTAAAAACAAAACATTAGAACAATTGAGACAGCAGGTCATTTCTTAAATATTTAGGATCTTTGGTACGATGGCGAGAGAAATTGACCGATTTTGTGTATTAAAACTACATATGATATCTTCTTTATAGCAGAAGCTGTTTTATATTACTGGGTGTATTCTGACTCTAGAACAAGTCCATATAACAACAATCTCCGCTTCTGACAGCACAGAATCCCGTGGGATTTCTTTTGTCGTGTGCGGACAAGTTATTCATTTAACCTTTTATGCAATTCGATTTAGGGTCTAGGTCAGCATGTGGCTGAAATGATTAATATCTTTACAATGTTATTTAAGCATATGACTCTTAAATAAGATTTGTACTGCTGTTCAAGTCGTTTAACATTTTTTAAAATGATTCATTCATTTCATGGTGCTAAATAGTTTCATGATTTTTAATTTCAGGCCTGTTAATGATAAACTACTGCTAACATTATAGCTACCCATTGTCCTACAATATTTTCAATAAGGGCAGTAGGAAAGCTAAGATTTCTCTTTATCATTTTGATTATTTTGTTTTTATTATATGTAAGTTATGCTCTTCTAAATGGAACGTGTTGCAAATTTAGTGATACACAGTATTTTATGTTATTTTGATTGGTGCGCAAATTTATATATATATATCAAGGTTGCAATTACCTATATGTTCATACTCATCGTTGATTTAAAATATTCATTACAGCTGCACGCAGATACTGTATCACGATGTGCTTGTTAAATACAGTTTTGTACTGCACGTCGTGTTATGTTCTTGATAATTAGGTGAGGTACTGAGAATTACTGTATGAAAATAATTCTTTACAGCAATAGAACATTACGTTACTGAATACACAGATCTTTGTTTTGTGCATATGTCGGTAAGTGTATATAAACATTTTATATAGACATTTTTGTTTGAAAAACAACACTATGCACTATTCATAAATTGTTAAGTAATCTGTAGGGTAAAATCATTGAAACAACTGAGTTCAGTTTAGAGTCAGGATCTGTGTCTAAAGGGCAAAAAGGAAGCAAACATACAGTAGTATTAATTGATTTCTATATACAGTATAAGGTTTTCCATTAGCTTCATAAGAATGTTCACCTATTATTCCATTTACAAATCTCACAGGGGGTGTTGGTGTTTTCTTGAAGTAATTAACCACATATGTACTGTTTATGTTCCTCTCTTTTTTATTGCACACATTTAGTGTTGCATGTTTAAGTTTTCTCTGTTACTACTTTGCATAACACTGCAAAAAATGCTTAAGTTTGAAATGACTTAAATCAATGGGATTTTATTTGCTGTTACTGTTTAGTGCAATTTAATATTTCTTCTAGTGTTAAGATTGGTTAGGTGCTGCAGTGATCAATAGGCATACAATTCCATTTGAATAATGATGATAACATTATTAACCATATACTTCTCATTGATTATGATTTTTATGATTAGAATAGTATTCTGCACATTTGTACTGTGGTTTTCTAACTGGCAAAATGTATAGTTTGGGATGTGTATGCACTTCATAAACGTGACTGGTTCCATTCTTTTATTTAAACAGAAGACAAAGCATATATATTATATATTTTCAATAACAAATTAGTCTTTATAACCATAACACATTCACCTAGGATCTGCACATACTGTATCAGAAGAGTGTGGCAAGACTGAGACAAGATGCTGTCTTGATTAATAAGAAATAATTTATTTCCATCTCAAATCTTGGTGTTTTTAAGCACATATATTTTGATTAATAATATAAGATTTCTATCTTATATAAATAACTTTACATTGAAGAGGAATATATAAAAATGGAAAATATGATCTGTTGTAATTGTTTATAATTTCAAGGTCATTTGAGATATTTGAGAGATTTAAGTCCATTTGAGTTCATGAGTGGCAACATAAAATCAAAATGAAAATATTTAACTTCTAACAACATATAGTATGTAGTAATCAGGATAGACAGTAACACTTTTGGAAAAAAAAAATCAAAATTCTTATTTGATTTAGAAGCTGATTAACATGTCATCATTTCTGTATGTGTATTTTATTCTTATAGGTCTCCAAAGGAAGATTGTCCAGTTTTAGAGTGACTAAAAACATAATCGAATAGGGAACAAATCTGAAATTAATTAAACATCAATGATATTAAATGTGATAGATACTCTTACTGTAGGTCCACAAATAATTATAGATTTTAAAAGAGAATAGTGTGTACGTTTATGAAATTGTTATATCTGGTACATTCTTTATATACAGTATACTTTTAAAGGTTTACTGTTAAGTACAGTGCTGTTTATTAAATTTGCATGCTCATAACAGTAATTATTTCTAAACCTCTGGGACAAAAATAATATGACATAATAACATAATCCTCCAGAAAGGTCTTCTATTTACAGTGTTCGGCTGCTCTGATGTCTTACCTGAAAAAGTATTTAATTCAAAACATCTTCAGAATATTGCTAGTGTAAAGTGAATTAGCTTTAATAATCATATATTTCAATCACTTTAACCATGGAAAAAAGTCCTTTATTAATTTCATATTAATACTACTGCAGGCCATTACAGATATAGGCCTAAACAAAAATGAACATGCTTTTTAATTTTTGAAGCTTTTGGAATGAAAATTAAATCTACTTTAAAGACCTATAAATGTCAATATTTATGTGTGTATTGTTCATGGTGGTGCAGTGATTGTTATTGCTGCCTTTCAGTGCTGGGGTCCTGAGTTCAATTCTGTACCTGGGTGCTCTCTGCATGGAGTTTACAGTATATGTTCTCCCCTGTGTTCACATGGGTTGCTCTGGTTTCCTCTCACAGTCAAAGTGTATTCTGGTAGATGAATTTGGCTTCAGGGAAAATGGGTCCTGTTGTCAGTGTGTATCCTCCCCTGGATAGGCGTCATGTCCAGGGTGTAATCCTCCTTGTGCCCACTGTTTGTCGTGATAGGCTCCGGCTGCCTCATGACTCTGAAGTGGATGAAGTGGTTAGGGAATGGTAACTTCTTAGATAATTTTTGTGTATGTCCTAAAACTGAATTCACTTGAGAGTGGAATGAAATTGTTTATATACTGTATTTAAGTGTGCCATCAAGGAATTTAGAATGTTCTGTCTGTCCCTTAGTTTGCTTTGTTGTTTCTGTTATGCCATTTGTACAGTAGGAAGAATATTGTGTGATCAACCCACAAAATACTGGTTGTGTACTGTAGCATTTTTTTGGCTATAGTGTGTATGTTGAGGCTGCCTTCTTGGGGAAGAGAAAACAAAGACAGCTGCAAGATGCTTAATAGACATGAATCACTCAGCTGCAATCTCAAGAGTCTTTTTTAAAGGAGAGAGATCACTGGTTATTAACTCTAATGAGACCAAAGGAGAATTGACGATAAGGACAGGGACTAATTAATGCATCTACTGTATGTAGTTGTCAAACTGCCTTTTTTTCTACATTTTTGTGTAGTTTTCCTTTAAGCAGAAAAAAGCTGCAGTTCGTATAGTAATTCAATCTACTAGATACAGTAGCGAAGCTTTGCAGTTTTACCATTCTCTTACTGACAGTTTGTTCATTTTTCTTAATTGAGATCAAGGTGTCATTGTAAAGGTTCAGTAAGTCACAATTCCTATCAACTCTCTATGATTTTAATTTGAATTAATGTTTTAATTGTATTTAATTTCTTAGATTAATTATCCTATATTTTTTCTTATTAGTAAATATAATTTTAATGTTCCTGTTTATATCAATGTATACAATCTGCTCTTTTAGAAAATGGCAGTGTTCCGGAATATTCTTAAAAGCCTTAGATTTGTAATGCAAATCGTGTTGTGTTCTACAATGTGATTTACCCATATTTTCCTAGTAACCTGTGACTGGTAGCTAATTTTTCAGTGATTATGCTTAGGAGTGAAAAATGACAATTTTGGGTGGAAAAATCTGACCTTTATATTGTAATTTTAATAATACTTGCTTGAAGGAAATGCAAATAAAAATATATATATATACTTGCAATAAGAAAAAGAACAGATGTATCTTTTACCAAAGTCCTGTTTTTTTCTGAACTTTCAGGTTTAAATTTAAGGTTGATGTTCTTCACAAGCTTACTTTTGTGTATTTAAAAAGTTTGATCTCACCCATATTTCTGTAGCATTAAACAAGTACAAACACTTCCTTTGGATGCATAGGCCTAGCTCATCTCTACTCCAAAAAAATTGTAATACATTTTTTTACATTGGGTTTGATTGGAACAGCCGGGATAGATTACCTAGACCCAGATAATAACAGTCATGTTTATGATGGACTTGAAGCCATAATCCTCAGATGGTGAGTCGATGGCCTTAACTTCTGTTCTTCACAGACAGTGCTTTTGAAATCAGTGGAAATATACTGTATTTGCTGTGTACCTCACTCTTTTATATTGTAAGTATATTTATATACTGTAAACGCATAACCTTTGTATCTACATTTCAAAATGTCCTTTAGCAACCCCCAACACCATTTAGCTCAATAACAAACAAGATAAACAGAAACCACAAATCTCAATTATTGCTTAAACTTTGATCAGACAAAGAATTTCTATTTAATAGTCTTTATTTAAAACTCATTGTATGTTCACTGACCTCTTAGATCTTCCCTGTATTTGAGGTGTGACTTCAAGTGTAATATGATCTGTGGAAATTTAGAAAATGTATTTTCTTCGTTTTTCTAAAGGCTTTAGAAAAAACACAAAATAAGGTATTTTAGATACAGATCTCTACTTTTACTCCTTGCTGATCTAAACAGGATTAGTATTTTTATGACAGGAGTATGTCCATGCTACTTTTTAAAGATTGTTGCTAGTTTTTTAGACTTAAAACAATGCACCAGTTCTGTTGCTTATTAGACTGTAGTGTCTTGACTATCTAGAAAAAAGTAATAATGCCAGAATAGCATAATGATCAAATTAATAACATCATCAACGACTTGCTTTGGCTTGGAGCCAGAGCTGAAATTTCACATCTTGGATTAGTGTCAGCCTTCATAATTGCCAGTGGGGGCCCACACATAACCTGTACTGTACATCATAGCCAACCTGAACTAGACTAGTAGAAAACTGTTACAAGATGCCATTTCAGCACATCTTTCCTCCTTTTTCTTGAGAAATTACTATTATGGGCACTCAACTTGCATTGTTAGAAGAATATGCTTGATGTATAGATGTATAAATATCTTTGCCTTTGAAAATAAACTAAAATTACTAAAATACTGACAATTCTTCTTGAAACATCTGTATAAATCAGTGCTTAGTATTTAGCATTTGTTTTAGAATTGTTATCATTTAGTGCTGAATCCTAATTCTAAACTTATTAGTAATCTGTTATTGGATATTACAGTTTTATTATTCAGTTCTGTTGGTTTTAGTTCCAATGAAAGATAACATACAAATATTTACAGTATCAATGTGCGATTGAACAACTGAGCTGGATAATACCTTTGTTTTTTGCCAAACTAAAACAAACTCATATTGTTTCACTGATTCTGATCTTCTGGTATGAGATTTGTTGCCAAAATGAAATCATCCCTTGGAGAAGAAGAGGAGTTTTGATGATGATGATGATGATGATAATAATAATAATATTCTAGATGCCAACTGGAGTTCTGCATGGAGTTCTTATTATTATGCATGTTTCTCTTCAGTGGTAGAAAAAACACATTATTTCTCACTCAGGTTTTGATCTACTGTTCTTTAGGAACCTTCTCCCCATTCTTGTCTGTTACCATTCTTCTAAGCTGGATAAATGATACGGTGTTTATGGGTTTTGGTAGAAGCATTTTTGAATATTTTTACGTTTATATTTAATCTGTTCCCCAAATTATTGTTCTGTTTATTTCATTTTCTTCCTGGAGCTATGTAACAAACAGCTGTTCAACATCTACACACATTTCTAACAATTACTTATTTGCCCTTTCCTGTCTAGTTTCCATCTTGCACGCTCCATTGAAACTACTCTGCTGTCACTGACTCCACTTGTTGTTAAGAGACATTGCTGATCATAACATAATTCTGTCCTTGCAGTCTGAACTTGATATTTCAGGCTTTGTACTTGACTTTTTAACTGTTATTGTATTTTCGGCACCTTCTTTTACCTTCTGCAGGTATTCCACATTAAACTGTTTTGGGATCCCTTCTTATTTTGTCTTATTCAGACTCTTTTTCTTCTGTTATTTACTTGCATGGTTTCTATTTCCAATCATTTGTTGATGGATATACAGATTTTCTTTACTTCTTTCCCATGTCTTTCGAAATCTGACCACCCTTTTCATATTTCTCTAATTCTTTTTTGTTCTTATAGAATCCTGTCTCCCTTCACCACTGGCACAAAGCTTTAAGTTACCACTGATCTCACCCTTTACGATCCACATCATATATTTTCCTTTAACATTCTGCTTGATAAATGAATAATAATTTTAAAGCAGATACAGTACATCTTTAAAAATCCAAATTTAAAGGCACTGCATAAAGTAATATTCATTTGTGCTGCAAAGGACTAGTTTAATTTAAAACAATCAATGGGTACATGTCTGTTAGAAACCACATATCTAGAGTTGTTTTCAGATTGAAGGAAGTAACTGCAGGGACAGGGAACACTAGCTTCCCTTTTGCAGAGTTAATGTTGAGAGAGCTTTAATTTATGACACCCAGTCAACTCAAGTGCTGTGTTTTCCAAGCACAATCACTGTGCAGTGGTAGTGATCACTTCAAATGTTGAATTGAATGAGAGTGTGATGGTGAAGGACTCCAGCATGATCTTTATTGCTGTGCTTGGAACACAGTGTTGTAGGACTCTGTAGGTGGGAGAAAGAGTTTCATTAATATA